ACTATTGGGTGCATGCGGTCCCCAACTTAGGTATAAGCTCCATGGCCATCTTACGATATGCAGGCTCTCCGGATGCAGACCCTGAGATCAGGCTAACTCCAAAACCGGTCGCTCTACAAGAAACTGACTTACACCCGTTGTATCTACCTCTGCCTATGCTGCTTCAGGAAGACGGCGCAACCATCAAGCTGAATATCGTTCTTGCACAAAATGAGACCAATTTCAACTTTCTTGTCAACGGCGTGCAGTACACTTCTCCTACTATCCCTGTCCTACTACAGTTGTTGAATGGTGATGTGTCGACTTCTGAAATGGCACCCAATGGTTCCATATATTTTCTACCAAGGAACAGGGTTATCGAGATTTCATGGATTCCTGATTTAGCCCCAGCTCGACCTGTAAGTCCCAAGGTATCATGTACCTACATACCCTCAACTGAAACTTCAACAGCATCCATTTCACTTGCACGGGGTATATCTTTACACGTCATCTATGCACATCCCATACTAATAAATGATTCTTAGCACAAATTCGCTGTCATCAGAAGTGCGGGCAGTAGCAGATACAACTACATCAACCCCGTATTGCGCGATACAGTAAACACCGGCTTTATTGGTGACTACGTGACCATTCGCTTCATCACTGATAATCCTGGGCCGTGGTTGTTGCACTGGTAAGCATCGTTCGTGATACCTCATCGTCGATGATGTTGATGACTTTGGGACTTTTGTGTAGTCATATCGATTGGCATCTATACTCGTGAGTTGCTTGTTTCTTTTGCAGAGCCTGGACGGACTTTTTGATTTGTATGAGCGCAGCGGGATGGCTTTGGTATTTGCGGAGGCTTCTCAAGACGTGGCGGCTTCGCAGCCTCTCAGTGGTGAGTACAAGGCACCACAGACTTTTAGAGCTGGCCTGACGATCAGCGATAGATTCTTCGAAGCAGCTCTGTCCGATATATTATAGTCTTCCTCAACAAAATTTCTCTCTTCCACCTTCAAACTGATGGATGTGATTGTCTTGCGAACTCTGAAACACCAGAAACTCGGTTTGAGACACCTCAATATTCTCGTAGAGATAGAGAGATAAACTTTGGCTGTTCTAAGAACGCCCATCATTTGTTTTAATTCATGTAGTAAAAATATACCGACAGTCAATCTATGGAGTTCGCACATCATCTATCGATAATGAGACACCCAGTATATTCATGACATTCGTTAAATTCTAGGGGTATAAACGCAAACCCAACCAATTTTACAGCGTGGACCCGATAGCAAGTAGTGCACCTTCTGTATCCTCGCCACTCAAATACTCTCCAATACACACTCCACGATCGCACACCGCCGCTCTTCGACCACAATTCGCACAGCTTCGGTCATCGTCTCCCACAGGGAATCACCCGCAGCGACACGTTTCCCCCACGCCCACCCCCCAGTCGCAGCTACTGCGATACCCACATAGTCTGGCATGTCAGGTCTCAGGCCCAAAGCCCACTGTAAGCTGATTTCCGGTAACCTTGGAGCCGTGCCCCTCGGCATGTATACCCAACATGGAGAGTTTTGGTGATTTACAGCCTCCGTTGTTCAAAATGATGGTTAGGAAGGGCTATGCGTCCTCAGAACTCATTAACATTACTCAGAATGTCAGTAAGTGGTGCTCACCGTTTCATACCGTCTCTCCATCCAGAACGCACTGCTAGGTGCCCCAAACAAGAACGTACCGTCACCCACCACACTCACTACCAGCTCGTACCCCACCTTCCCTGCACCCTTGCCTGCATTTACCCCTCCTAGAACCGCACCGATTCCCGCACCTAATGCCCAGCCGAGTGGCGAGCCACCGGAGCTTAACATGCCCAAAGGCGTGATGCAGGTGTGACCATGAAAGCGGGTAGTTACTGATGGTCTCATTCAGGTAAAGCGTGCTCGCTGGATGCGGGACCTTATTCTCCACCGCCGTACGCAGAGCCCCAAAGATGCGTGAGGGCAGATACGGCACATTCGGTTAGGACGTGACTGCCTCCGCGTTACGCATGTCTGCGATGAACGCATCGTGAATCGCCTGTATGTTCCTAGAACGCGTGTAGTATCTCGTCGCTGAGCCTGTGCTCCCGGAGTTTAGGAGTTGGAAGAGCGCGACTTCAGCGTTGGCACGGGAAACAAGCTCTGCCACGCCGGCGACGTGCTCCATCCCGATGGTTTCTTTGAGAGGGTCGCCAGAGTCGATTACGAAGATGCGGGCGTCATCGCTGGGGCGCCCGGAGTTGCCTTGATTGTCCTTGTTTATTGGGATCTACGGTATCTCTGCATCGGTTATGAGGATGACGTCTGCTGTGCTGAGCAGCGAGGTGTGTGTGCCAGGTGCGAGGAAGGAAACGCCCACGAAGAATGGATGCGAGAGAGATACGTTGGTAGCGCTGGGGCAGGTCACAAATACAGGAATAGCCATCAGCCGGGAAAGCATCTCTAAGGCGCCGACGGCTGCAGGATTCCGTCCAATGTATGACGTGATGATAAGCGGGTTGTTTGCCTGAGCCAGGGCATCACCAATTACGTTCACGGCTGCAAGCACGATAAGTACAATCCAGTGGTCTCACTTACTATGGTAATTTACCTGAGGGGGAGAGTGCGCTTGGCTCGATGGAAGGCCATTTGTAAAGAGATGCGGATGAGTTGAAAAGTGATTCATCGATCTCCTTCTCCAATACCTCTCTGGAGCGGTGGTTGAGGTCTTCACCACTGATGTAATTGATGCGTTCAGGGACTCGCGTTTCCCACCCTGTTAGTAGCCGATCTGTGACTTTGGAATGCTAACAGGGCACTGCACACTCGTGTTGCTGATAGGCTTCAAGTTCACATGAATGCAGACGTGTGGCCTGTACTACACCAGGTGTTGGCGCTGCGCGCCGTAAGGTTTAGGACAGGTTTGGCAGCGCTTAAAGCTTGACCGGCCGAACTCGGCTCCCAGGTGAACGCGAACTGAATGAATTGAGCAGCCCTTGGAACATGGAAGTCTGTAGGGTGGACAGGAACGTTTTGATGGCTTACATAAAGAAGTCACTTACATGAAGAAAATTCATATATCCACCGTTGGGCGCAAACTGTGCCCTGACCATGATTCTTGTGCACGGTTCCAACGATGTTGATTCCATGCTAATTATCGTTCACAATCATGGCATTGTGATTTGCTTGTGGTGTAGTATGCCTCATGTCGACCATTACATGAACAGCCTCCTGAAGCTCATTTATATGGTCTGGCCTAGTAGGCATCCCTTCCGTTGTGATATTGACCGTCGATGGACACCATAGAACCCCACTCGCCACCATCTTCATCAATACGCCCCTCCTTTACAAAGCCGGCGTCGCGAGACGGCTCCAGGTTTCTGAAGGTCACATGCATTGTGTGCCATGTAGTTCCCATAATAATCCACTGCGGTTTAATTCTGCTATACATGCGCAACTTTGACTACACGCTAACCAATTCTACGTACATCTACACGATGCCAATAATCCACTTGCGACTCCGGGTCACGGTTACTTGGGGCTTCTTCTTTATGATCATGGGTTATATGGTACGTGTACTAGTTCATTGCCATAACTGCAAGTAATCAAAGATTTGCTAGATATTTTTCACTTTGCTCCGTTACTTCACGCGAATGCTCATTCTCAGGCAGTTGTTCTGCGGCGAATTTAGATTGACCGCGGTGTACGACATATTGAATGCTATGTATGGATCCGGCGCCGCACTAGCTGCTCTTTGGGACCAACGAATGACTGCCACAGCATGCTCAGAGGCGACCGTCTTTCTTTTCTACATCATAGGCTTCACCTTTTTGCAATCCCATGCTCTTCTGGTGCTAGTCCCTACATCCATTGACAGGGCCCACACCTTTGTAGTACCTGCACTATCGACATGGCCAGATGCCACCGTGGACATCCAGAATTGGGACTGGCCAACAATACTATCTGTGGCATCGAAATTAGGGCAGTTATATCCGACAGCCACGGGGCTCGGTGACAGTTTCCTCTATGACGTTATATCCCTTGGCATGACAGGAAACGCAACTGTGACCGCGACAGAAGTGAGCGTCACATGCTTCCTTGCACAGAATTTATCGTACGAGCAAAGTGTTGCAAATGAGCCCTTGATCTATACCAACGGAACGACCACCCTTGCTTTAGATGCAATTCCATGTAAGCCCATTATTGACCGAGTTGCAACCAGCTCATCTTTATTAGGGAAAGACCAAATATTGTATCTCCTTGACAGTCCGCTGATTGAGGTGAGTAAGTTCGAACACACTTTCGAGGTACCTACTGAAGATTTCAGGGCTGGCTCAATTTCCTGTTGACGACTGGGACTGCCGAAAATCCTTTGATCGACGAAACAACAGTGCAAGGAATCTGGTATTACGACAGTGACCGTACGTACACTTATCGGATAGCTAGTGACCTTGTTCCAAAGCTGTTGGAAATAGTACTTGGAACTCTATCGACTTGCACTTTGCATTCTGCAACGTATCACTACTTCGCCGAAACGCTACCGTGGATGCGCAATCGAATGATTTACTGATCGTCCCAGAAATGTCTGCATCCCCTCCGCAATGGACAACTATCCCAGCCGCATCCTTTCCACCAGAGCCAGTTTCTGATGGTGGCATGGTATGTTCCCTGCATGCACATCCGTGTCAGATTTACTGATAGCAACATCCACCAAAGATTACGATGCCATTTGAGACGCAATTTTTTTACACAGGTATAAGAACCTGCTTCGACAAGATCGACCATTACCCATGTAACAGGAATACGTCAGTAGGAGAACTGTGCGTATATCCTCCCATTTTTAAGCATCTAAATTACTTCATTCCCGACAGGCTACTCATGCAGTTGATAGGCATGCCCTTCAGTAGTATCATCCCAGATATTCCCATCAATATCACGCAAGACACGTCCCCAGGTGGAAACCAGCATTTCAATACAACACCATCATTCACGATTTCGAAACATCAAATGGAGACGGCATTATCAAGACTGTATGCACAAGTTATTTGGATAGGTCAGCATTTTCCTTTGCATACCCCGAGACAAGGATAGTGTCAATGTTATTTAACAGCTGGGGAGTTGGGTGATTCTGGCGGGGGGTTTCAACGGGCCCAAGCCGAAGCAGAGGTGGTGCAGTTTGTATCGGAGATGCGTCTGGAAGTATGTTGCTCGCATTCTCCTGCACTGCCACCATGGAGACGCTGATGAAAATCTTCACACCAGCTTGATTATACTTCAGTATGTGATTCTATATTTCACTTTCAATCTCAGAACTAAGGACACCGTCCAGAACTTCATCGCCTTACTCGCTTCCTGCTGTCTTCTTGCGCTCGTTATTCGTATTACTGCAAGAGGGACAGCGCCAAGTATAAAGACGTCTGTCCTGTCTTTCATGTGGTTGGCAAAACATTCACAGGATCTTACGACCCAATTCGCCAGAATTTCGCATCCTGATAACCAGGTGCTCCGCAGGGCCGGGATGTTTCGAGTTGGAGTTCAAGATACTAGTCAGATTTTTGCAATCGATGACCCCCCAGATATAGCAGGTTTGGACATTAAACCAGGCGCATCTAAACGAATATGGCATGGAATTTGCGGTTGTGCGAGCACTTCCTGGCACCGAGTGAGGTCGCTGATAGTTTTCTCCTTCAAGTACAAAGTCTTGGAGAGCCACGAAGGTGCCACTCTAGAATTGGTGACCTTCGTTTACTAACCTGTTTGTTCATTGTTTCAGAGACGAAAACACGCCACCCCAATAACTCCATACAATATTGCCTTTGCATGATCTTCCACGCCCTCTTTGTTGTCCTAAATGCTTTCCTCTTTTTTGCAACCGACCACTACAATAAACAAGACATGGTGCTCTCAGTCGCGTCTCATATTCAGATGTGGAAGTTTGGCATTCGTCAGTTGATACAGGCATACTACACTGTAAGATTCAACAGGTTGACCAAAATGTAGACTGATAATACTCTGTAGTTGTCGATCGCCGCCCTAATTTACTTGGCTCAAACTGTCACCCTTGCCCATGATTTAGTACGCTTCCAGCCCCTCTCTTCATTACATGACATCAGGGATTCCTGGCACAACTGGTTTGTGGCTGGGCTGCGCTTCATGGGCCAGTTTTCATATCCTGGTTTTACATCTCCCACGAGGATCTTTTGCGTGTTTTGCTACCTCTTTTCCCTCTCAACCATCTCTCTCCTGCGACCATACATCGTTTCGCCTGAAACTTACACTGTCATCGCCACCGGATTATCATCTACACAACTCGCGTGGCCAGATCCGGCAACAAACATTAGCACTCTGGATTGGAATATGATAACTTCGGCTGCCTTGCCTTCAAGTCAGATCAAGGGGGTGATGACCACGGGACTGGCAAGCGGCTTATTGTACGATGAATTCTCTCCAAATCCTGGATTTGGTGATGCGGTTGTAAATGCAACGCTCATAGATGCCGACTGCTCCTTGTTGCCAAGTTCGTTTTGGTCCAATTCTGATGGCTCTCCTCAACTCGAAGACACTATCAGCGTGATTCCTTGTACGTTCGTTAATTTTTTTGAATGTCACAGCTACTAACCACCGGCATGCAGGGTCAGATCAGATTTTGCACGTTGTATCTGCTGAGGTAGATGAACTGTGAATTCCGTCATTGCATAGGTCATTGTTAACGGACCTCGCAGAACTATCTCACTTTTCTTGTTACGACGGCAATGGCTGAAAGTGGTGCGGTGCTAGAGAACGCTTCCGTGTCTATGCCATGGATAACGTATGACAGCAATGGTAAGCATGATTCCTTGGGATACACCGTCATTGACTCTCTTGTTGAAATTTTCACCAGGGTATGAAGTATCCAGTACGCAAGTAGTAGGATACATGGTTGCATGTCACATGTCTCTCGAGAAGCATGTGGCTACCGTCGACGTTCAATCCAATTTACTTCTTGATACTACGTATAATTCGGTATTCTCTGACAATGGATGGACAATCTTCCCAGGGAATTCTCCCGGTACAGACCAAGCCTTAGATTGGGTATGTGGAATCAGTCTTCATACCCTGCCGCAATTGTAGTGACCCGACTTCAATTACAGATCAAAGCACCTTTCTTCGCAAAGCCATATGAAGGAACACCGGTGGAAGCGATATACTGGAACAACAGCATTTTACCTGGGCCATGTGTAGGCAGTAGCAATGGTAGTATGTGTGGATATACACCAGAAAGGTCAGTTCAATATTGCAACGAGAATGAGACTTGGGATTTATAACATTGCTTAGGCTGCTTATGGGGTTTCTGAATATGACCCAGAAGCAGATAAACCCTACAACATTTAACAGTAGCACGCCCACCTTCACTTTGTCTCCACTCGAGCTGGAAAACGCTTTGTCCCAGTACTTTGGGGTGATGATCTGGACAGGTAAGCTATATACCTTTTCCGATCCAGGAAAGCTGATCACAGAATTTCTCTAGCTGCACAGCTTGGTGGGCGTCAAGGAGGGTTTGATAGGGCAGCCGGACAGGCTGAAATCAACCAAAATGTAAAAACGATAAGGGTCCATGTGAGTTCACCCTCCATCTTAAACCTATGCGGCTTTATAGTCCTTATTTCAGTTTTCTCGAATACCATTGCTGGTGGCGCTCGTAGCCTCCTGCATTGCTTTTGTTTTGATCTTCGCGTTGGCTGGAGTTTTTCCCAGTGACGAAAGTTTTGTCGGAGGCTTCGGGGTTCTGCATATGATCTGGCTCACGACCCGCCTACCAAAAACTGCCAAAGTCTTTGGCTCGATTCCGCACAAAACATATCTGGATCTACATGACCTTCGTCGCATTGGAAAGTGCATTAGGGTTCAACTGGCAGACGGTGCCGTAGAGGATATCGACGGAGACAAACTTGAAAAGTCTGGAATGCTTAATGAACCTAGGTAAGGAGTCGCACTGCTTGAAGTTAGACTCAGATCCGCTCACCCAATACGATGTAGTGGGGACGATCAACTTTGTGACCTTGAGAGAGGGGAAGAAGGCAATGATGACCGTCAAGTCGAAGCCACAGAGAATATCGATGACGGCAGGATTGAAGATTGTGGTAACGACCAAGTCTGTGATCTTGAGAGAGGAGATGGAGGTATTGACGAGTCAATGCCGCTAATACAATCAAGTGTTCGACTGGACGAGGTCACAGAGGATGTCGACGAACTTGAAGATAGGCTGAAGGAGTGCTCAAAATGAGCAGAATGAGTGACGACTCCATCATATGTATTACCTCAGATCCGCTTATTCGATACGACCATGGCCCTACGGGCACCCCTGGACCTGATTTTCTCATACGCTTTTTCTCATGACGGTTTATCCATGTACAAGTCTGTCATACTAGTCTCGGCGTCTGATTCTACGATTCTTATGTGTTTCTTACGAATGTTTCAGGCTCATTTTCCTTGAGTGTCTACAAAGACTGGTACGATGTTCTCCGCTAGCTACGGCTCTTGCGAAGCTTCAAGTCGAACCATTAAGTTGTCTGAAACTGCATTGAAGGCATTCGCAGATGTCGATTGTAGGGCTAGTCAGGGTGTTAAGGTGAATTCAGACGACCACTGATTCAAAGAACGCCCATAATTTATTGTAGTTTCGAACAGCTTTAAACTATGTAGTAAAAATATACTGACAGTCAATCTATGGAGGTCGCACATCATCTATCGACGATGGGACGTCCAATGTATTCATGACGTTCGTTAAATTCTAGGGGTATAAACGCAAATGCAACCAACCAATTTTACAGCATAGACCCGATGGCAAGTAGCGCACCTTCTCTATCCCCGCTACTCAAATACTCTCCAATACACACTCCACGATCGCACACCGCCGCTCTTCGACCACAATTCGCACAGCTTCCGTCATCGTCTCCCACAGGGAATCACCCGCAGCGACGCGTTTTCCCCACGCCCATCCCCCAGTCGCAGCCACTGCGATACCCACGTAGTCTGGCATGTCAGGCCCAAAGCCCACTGTAAGCTGGTTTCCAGTAACCTTGGAGCCGTGCCCCTCGGGGTGTATACCCAACATGGAGAGTTTTGGTGATTTCCAGCCTCCGTTGTTCAAAACGATGGTCAGGAAGGGCTGTCGTTCAATGCCTCCTCAGAACTCATCACCCAAAATATCAGTAAGTGGCACTCACCGTTTCATACCGCCTCGCCATCCAGAACGCACTGCTAGGTGCCCCAAACAAGAACGTACCGTCACCCACCACGGAAACTACCAGTTCGTACCCCACCTTCCCTGCACCCTTCCCTGCATTTACCCCTCCTAGAACCGCACCAACGGCCGCACCTAATGCCCAGCCGAGCGACGAGCCGCCGGAGCTCAACATGCCCAAAGGCGTGTCAGGATGCAGATGTGACCATGAAAGCGGGTAGTTACTGATAGTCTCGTTCAGGTAAAGCGTGCTCGCTGGATGCGGGACCTTATTCTCCACCGCTGTACGCAGAGCCCCGAAGATGCGCGAGGGCAGATACGGCACATTCGGTTCGGACATGACTGCCTCCGCGTTACGCATGTCTGCGATGAACGCATCGTGAATCGCCTGTGTGCTCCTAGAACGCGTGTAGTATCCCGTCGCTGAGCCTGTGCTCCCGGAGTTCAGGAGTTGGAAGAGCGCGACTTCAGCGTTGGCACGGGAAACAAGCTCTGCCACGCCGGCGACGTGTTCCATGCCGATGCTTTCTTTGAGAGGGTCGCCAGAGTCGATTACGAAGATGCGGGCGTCATCGCTGGGGCGCTCGGGGTTGCCTCGATTGTCCTTGTTTATCGGGATCCATGGTACCTCTGCATCGATTACGAGGATTACGTCTGCTGTGCTGAGCAGCGGGGTGTGTGTGCCAGGTGCGAGGAAAGAAACGCCCACGAAGAATGGATGCGAGAGAGATACGTTGGTAGCGCTGGGGCAGGTCACAAATACAGGAATAGCCATCAGCCGGGAAAGCATCTCTAAGGCGCCGACGGCTGCAGGATTCCGTCCAATGTATGACGTGATGATAAGCGGGTTGTTTGCCTGAGCCAGGGCGTCACCAATTACGTTTACGGCTGCAAGCACGATAAGTACAATCCAGTGGTCTCACTTACTATGGTAATTTACCTGAGGGGGAGAGTGCGCTTGGCTCGATGGAAGGCCATTTGTAAAGAGATGCGGATGAGTTGAAAAGTGATTCATCGATCTCCTTCTCCAATACCTCCCTGCGTGCCCAAAGATATACTGGCCCTTTTGGTTCGCTTGTAGCACTGGGGTGCACATTTTAGCCAATCTCGAGTTCGAATGAACCAAAGGAGCTCACATTTGGAGGGCACGTCTGACGAGGTGAGGTATATTTTCGGGTGCGTTAATCTGTGCAGTGAAACGCATGTATTGCCTGACAATGGCAGGTTGGTCGGGCACATCTACGCATAAAGCATCTGAGGTCTGTCTTCAACCAACCAAGTGAGCATCTTACCTTGCATCCAATGAATCCACTCGTTCCTTGACCCCTTCAACTCTCCTTCCATAGTAGACGGGGATGCACCAGCAAACACCAGGATGGGAACTTTTCCTCTACTCGCATTATGGACGGCACCAGCGAGGGCCTATCACCAAGTGTTTGACGACAATGTCCTAGAAGGCCCAGCATATAGGCACTAACCTGAGTTCCGACATCAACATGTACAATGACTGCGGCGGGGGTATTCGTAACCTGCGTAAATGCCTGTGCCGCGCTCAACGCAGCCATTTCATTAGGGCAAGTGACTATTTCGACAGTGGTATTGCCATGGTCGGCGCGTTGGCGCTGGAGGTCTTCGAGGAGTGCAGGGTGATCAGAGCCCCAGTTGACGAATGCGTGGGTGATGCCGACCTGGGCTAGAGTGTGGAAAAAGAGAGAAGATGTGGTGTACATTTTTGGCAACGATGGAGGGCAGCACTAGATGATGAAGTACAGGTGTGTATATATAGTGCTGACTATCCTGGGACCTGTGCCCAGTAGCATGGGATATGATGCACTTTCCTGGATTGACAAGCCGCACAAGCGCAATGCTGTGCGGAGAGGTTAGATGGGTGGGAGATGAACACACAGGACTTGACGGATAAGAGTATTTGATCAGTAGATGAAGAATATACGATTTTTACAACGTAGTAGAAAGAATGTGTTCACGCTGACTTTGACAGCCTTGTCTGGGTTTGATTTGACCTGGTCCGAACTCGACAAGATCTGGTGGATTGTTCAGAAAACAGCTCATTTACTCGCGGGACAATGCATAACTCACGCATTATTCCTTCAAGAACGCCCTGCAAGCCACTGTCGACGTGTAGAACAATATCTGCAGTCCTCCACTCTGACCCATACTGACCGAGATGACTATCGCAATACAAATGATAATCTCATCAAGCAGCATGAAGACAGAAAGCGACGCGGGAAGATGATGACTTATACGCACGGCCGCCTTTAGCAGTCACGCGCACTGCTTCCGCGGACTCGGAATCCGTTCCGTGCTTATATAGATGACATATATCAACTTGGCGTGAACCTCCTGAGGCCCACTGAGCCACGTCAAACCATGTCGTTCTCACAGAAATATCACCAACTCCCCACATTCGATAAGCATGCTGGAGAGCACGGATCTCTCCAACGTAAGGTCCCGCGAAAAAGGAGGTCTCCTTTCCTCGTCATCGCTATCATTATGTTGTTGGGTGTTTCCATCCCTTGTATAAGGATGGCCAGGTCTAGGGCTTTGTTGTCTGCTTGCCATGGCCCGCAGCGTAACTCTTCTACACTGGCTAATCTGCCTTCTCACTATACCTTACCATCGGGAGACAAGATTCCCTCAGTTGCGTTGGGTACGGCAGCGGTAAATGCTTATCAAGTCGGTGTCAAACTAATCATTGATTACAGGTGTATGGCAGGCTAGCCAGGGGGAAGTCGGAAATGCTGTAAAGGTACGTACACCATACTTCCTCGAGTACTTACGCTCACGTGCTTTTAGACCGCTTTGTCAACCGGTTATCGACACATCGATGGAGCCTGGATCTATCGTGTACGTCCGAGTCCCCTATCGCGACGAACCTCTTTGACGATAGTTGCAGAACGAGGAAGAAGTTGGTCAAGCTCTCAAAGCGAGTTCTGTACCTCGTGAAGAGCTCTGGCTCACGTCAAAGGTAGTACCTTCGATTCACTCAGTTTTAACTCACTGAATGGCAACAGCTTTGGAACACTTTCCACGCACCTGAGGACATTGAGGCCGCGCTAGACCAATCGCTTACCAAGCTTGGTACAGATTATCTTGACTTGTACTTGATTCACTGGTGAGGCGATTATTCACCAACTTGAGCATTTTGCTGATTCCCAACAAGGCCTGTCGCATTCAAGGAGGGAACTACTGTTTTGGACGAGGATCTTACTGCCGATCCATATCCTACTTGGCAGAAGCTCGAAGAGCTTGTCGACAAGGGTAAAATAAGGAACATCGGTATCAGCAAGTGAGTTCCATCTTTGTCGAGTCGAACGGGTGCTGATATCTCGCCGATAGCTTCAATATAAGAAGGTTCGAATGATTTATGGTTTAAATCAACCTTGTTCAAATCCATCGCAGGATCCAGAATTTGACCGCGAACAATCTGAAATACCAGCCAGCTGTCAATCAAGTCGAGCTCAACTTTTGGAACCCTCAACCCGAGCTATTGCAGGTATGTTTCCAGCTCAGACATGCAGACGCTTGTGCTCGAGTTCACGAGTAATCCGTAGTGGTCGAAGGAGAACGGGCTTCTTCTCGAGGCGTACTCTCCCCTGGGTAGCGACAAGCAAGTCGGAAAGTCCCTTTCTGTCCCTGAGGTACCATTTCACGTCACGAGGACGAGTCTCCGTCGTCTAAACACTCTTACAGGTTAAAGACATCGCATGCAAACTTGGGATCACCCCGGCTCAGGTTATCATCTCGTGGAGTGTCCAGCGCGGTGTATGTCGATATTTCTGTAGCATCGTGTCATAACTCACCTTTCCAAACCTTGACAGACGATCGTCCTGCCGAAGAGCGTGACACCTTCTCGCATCGCAGAGAACCTTGCAGGTGAGAACGCCCAGAATTTCGCGAGGCAGTATCACTCACTCCAACCAGTATTTGAGCTCCCCCAAGAAGACTTTGAGAGGTTGGAGACAGCGGCAACTTCGCACCCTCCGCAGAGGGTGGTCAACCCGAGCGCGGGTTGGAAGTTGCCTTTCGATGTGTTTGACGGGCAGTGAAACATGTGTGGGCTGTTGCTTGATCGACGATTCTTACTATTATGCAACATCTAGGCTAGCGCTGCTAGCAATCTTCCAGAAATAGCTGTCCATCTAGCACTGCTGAAATGCGAAAATAGCGCAAGCTCACCTGACAGGTGCAATATGTTAGACCCCTCTGCAAGGGAAAGCTGACGGTCCACTTACCGGCTCGGGTGTCCTCAAATATGTCCTACATTTGAGGATCATGATGGAACGTCCCACCGGCCGAAAGATGACATAGCCATAGGCACCAGGTAGGGCAACTACAGAAGCTCTGCGTCGGCATCTTGAAATATCATTGAGCTTTGAGGCGCGAGGTATATACTATGATCTCTGAGGTCAAGCTCAGGCGATTGGGTACAGTTTCTTGTAATTGACATGTACATAGAGGTACAATGTCATGATACCACCCAGCTCCTGTTATCAATGAGTATGATGAATGGGTGACGCGAATAAGAACTCTAACGATGAACGTGCGGAGCGATGACGCATGATTAAGGTTACAAAACATATCTGAAGTCCCTGTTTTGCATATCCGTCAAATCAAAAAATTCCTAGTAAAGTTAAGGTATAAACCTTGTATACAAACGGCAATCATCCATTCGGAGAACCCACCTTGTCGACCTTGACTTCTACACGCTTTCCATCCTCGGTGATTCTCTCGATCATGTATTGTTCTTCATCCATCGCCAACAGGCTCAGCATCACGGATCTGGTTCTCTCGGACGAGAACGGCACGGATGATAAGAAGAAGTACCGGATAGACGGTGTGACATGCGCCAATCTTCCTAGAGTCACTCGAAGAATAACCTACCGCAGCTTCCACGTGAAGGGGCCAGCTGAGTTGACAATGCAGTATTCTGAGAGCATGATGGCGTTAGGAACAACCTGCAGGTAGATTTCAACTTGAGGAATAACTTCAATAAGTTACATATCACCCGCCTTCTTCGTATGACCAGCAGTCACTATTAAGCCACGACAGCGACAGGACGAAGCCAGGCACACGGACCACAGCTATGAAGCAATAAGTATACAGTATGAGAACTTACACCAATAACGTAGGATCTGTTCCGTCCGAGTGTAGTACAATCAAGAATCCGGCAGTGATCGACCCCTCACAAACGCCTAGCAACAGGCGCACAACAAGAAGCCCAGCAAATTTTTTGCATGCTGCATGACATGCAAGTGCAACTGCCCAGACGAAGATATTGAGACTGATGCATGCTGTCATTGAAGTTCATATTAATGATGTGTTTGAAGCCTACCTCATCCATTTCCCGACGGGGAATCTTTGAAGGGCAGGGTTCTGGAGATACTCGAAGACAAGATAATTGAGATAGAACAATGTGCTGTGCCAAGCCTGGAAGGTATATGAGGCCCATGGAAGATTGAGTGGTGTATATCTTCTCACCAATTGTACCTGAAGATAGTTCAGCATCAGGCTCAAGCGTCAACTCCAAGATAAGAACAGTTTACTCATTCGTGGTCAGATGCGTGGCATCCCTGATAACACAGAGTCAGTACCGGGTTGGCTAGTCCTGATACACGACCCTTACTGAATTCCAAGCCTCAAGGATGGCCGCAGAACCCGAGGTTGTCTTGTCCATGAATTGGACCCTGCACACGAGTGGGCGCTGATTCGTGGTGAATACAGTCAACATACCAGTAGAGAACTGGACCGCGATCATCAGACGCGATCATCATTGATTCAAACAATAGTTGACTCACCACACATCAAAGGCATGATATGTCCATCGATCTTCCTCCTGGAACAAAATCGTACGATGTTGATGTGCATACAGTCTTAGCAACGCGCCTTATTCTCAAAGCCTCGTCGGGACCAAGAGTGGAGATTGAACCAGCGACGAGCTGAGCACCAGGTCAGCATCTTTAGTCGACACAGAAACTCCCTGCATGTTTATGGCCCTGGAGTATACTGGACGATTCCAAACTCATTTTGAGACTCTGGACGTGAACGTGTAGGTGAACTGTGGGTCCAGGAAGAATTTGCACCCTCTGAGACCACGTGTGACCATACCAGCTGCGCATCTGTCTGGTGGCATTATGAGCGAAGTTTGAACACTATCATCACTACGACCTTGTAGTGCCAATTTACAACCCCAATTTGTTGTTCTCACTACGCGGCTATGCGCTCCCGGAGTCGCTGGTAAATCGCTCTTGACGCTAAGTCGCTAACGGTTAACGTTTATAGACCGAGGTCACGGGTTTACATAAATTATGCAAACCACGTTAGCACAAGTAGGGACGCTCACACCTGGGAGCTTACGGTTTATTTTTAAAGCTTCGGGGTACGTAGTCTTTGCGCTGACCTCAGATAGCACGAGCTCGTCGTGGTCGGCGACGTGCGGTTGGACGAGCGAGAAATGCGTGCCATCATCGATCCTGAAAACAACTAGAGATGTGCATTGTGCTCAGTGCCCACGGACACATTTTTCATGAGACACGCTGTCCTACAGGGAAAAAATGGGCTCCCGCTAGAAACAGTGTGCCTCGTGGCATATTTGTTGGTAAGAAGTTTGATGCTTACGATGAGATTATAATGCGCAGAGCAACTTACCCGTCTTGCCATCCTAGATCTTGATATTCTAGCGAGTAGATCACTGCCACCGAATGACTCCTGTCCGGTGGACTGTTTCGCCGGTCAGATCCACTCACATTAATATTGACTACACATACTCGGTGCTTGTGCCCTGTCCGATGACCTTCCCCGTCTCGCCACATGACCTCACTACCCCTTCCGCTTGGAACAGTCTTGCCAATTTTATGCTCCATATTTCTGCCTTGTCATCCTCATCTTGTTAGCCGTGTGCTATCTGTGCGGTGTGTACCGTTTGCTAGGTCCCATAACCGGAGCGAGCCTTCATTCTAAAATGCGATCCGTTCGACACGCAGGTGCACAGAAACCTCTTGTGACAGAATATTTCTATACAGGCTTTTCATCTGCGAGGTGACGCATTGAATCCTACTTTTTTGGACGATAAGGTGGGTGGTGTAACGTTGAGACCTGGAGCGCCGACCATACCTTCTCTAAAAATAAATATATGCTGACGAAAGAAAGATGATACGACGCCATACCGGGGTCTTTTCAAGTGCCAGACTTAGTTTTCCAAATATTGTAAAAGGAAGTTCTACATCAAAAGGACTTCGAAGGGCACACATGTGAACGCGTGAACAGCAGCATCGCGTATCTCCCGTTTATTGACATTCGCGGACTTGCAATATGTGAGTTCATGTTTCGCGATGTAGTTTCGGACTGGCAATACGCAAGTTGATATTTTCTCAGCCACTACATCCTGCAGCGCTCTTCCGACTCCGGCACTTTATGGACTTCGGGTACAGCATCAGAGAAGATTTAGGCGAACTATGCCGTTGAGGCCTTCCAAAGTTCATCTCTATAAGGTATGGTATGACCTATATTTGACTAGCTGGACCGAGCCACTCTTATCAGTTTATCTCAACGGTATAGGCTCGAACAGATCTTATCGTCCATGTCAGAAATATCGGTGGAGTTACAAAATTTCGTAGTCATTTCGCTGACTTGGCTCGTATTCTGCTTCCAAGGCTGTGAATGAGGCCTATAAACATGCGCTCGGAAGTCACTGATGAAGCTCGAGCGCTTGAGCAGGCAGGACATCCATAGCGACGTGGAATAAAAGTGGAAATATAGTATGTTCTTTTTGCTGATATGATACTTGTTAATTCTATGAAATCGCAGATAGATGTATATCACATACCTCCCATAAACGAATGACATCAGTTGTGCGTTCAGCTGCTTCAAGTAGTATACCTACCTCTTCATAACGAGAAAACTCATACTTCGCATCTTTCTTGTTCACCTCGAGTTCCTTGCGCAAGCGTTCCTCTGTGGATTCCAGTGTTGGGGACCGTACCACTGGTTCAGAGACAATGATGGTTGGAGTCGGAGGGATAGCGCTATTAGTAACAAAAGATGAGTGCCGCATAGTTACATTGAGGCTGCTCATGCGGCCAAATCCAGCAGATAAGGACCGAGAGGCTATCGCTGTTGAGTTGGTAAGCACATGCTGTGATACTGAGGTTATGCCAGATAGTTCCAGTCAGGTCTGCGTCTTGCCGACTTTAATGGACATACGAAACGAAGTCATCTGCACCCAAAAATTGCGTCATCCATAGTATGACCTGGGGCCATTTACAGGGGATTACGATAAAGTGCACAAATCTATTGTAAATCTCGAACCCAACGAGCTGAAATGAATTTGGTTATATCCGAATCGAATCGAGTTCACATCGAGTCTAACTTGCCTCGACGGCAACACTAATGTCACCGGGACGAATAGTCAAACATTATAACCGACACGACCATCTTGATCATGCTCGGCTAATGGGATATAAGTATCAAGTGCATGAAACACATTCCAATCATTCTCTCACTAAATCTCCTGTCTGCCAGCTTATCGCAATGTCAACTAACACACACTCCATATCTACTTTCGATGGTGGTGTCCGTATATCCCCTCTACCACGTTGTCATGCCCTGAATGTTCTCTTGAATATAGGTCCTAGCAAGCATCCGCCAGTCCATCGCTGATTTTCTTCGGCGTTGCGGTTTGAAATACATGGACGTCACAATCGATGAAGCATACCATTCTGAATGCTGCCAGGAGGCAATCAACTGTGGCTTTCCGATGGACGGGAAATATTCCATCCACGAATACATGGACGTCGGTGTGGCCATGGCGTCCAACGCTTACACCCACCTTCCTGATGCAGCCAGGATGTGGATGTGCCTGTTCACTGCTATCGCCACCCGCATTGATGACAAGGTGGTCAGGGGAGAAGACATGATTGATGTCTACCATTTCAATGAGCGGTTTGTGAGCTGCCAACCACAGGGTGATCCAATTCTGAACGCACTCGATGTGATCTTGCGTGAGATCGCTAGTCTTCATTCCCCGCTGGTATCGAGTCTTATAACCGCGTCCACGCTCAACTTTATGGTTGCAAACTGCCTTGATTTTGAGACTGAAGACATGCAGGTATGGTTTATATCTGAATCACGGATTGATTATATTTTGACCGGTATCGTAGATCTCGCCCAAGGCTCCCTTGTACCCAGAGTATTCCAGGCTTCTATCAGGCTTGGTGGATGGATATGTCTTATTTATCTTCCCTTCCATGCTCCCAACCACAGAATACATTCAATGCATGCCGGATCTAAGGATTGTCGTAAACCACACAAAGTAAGTACATTGATCACTTTCTGTCAGGCTTCCTAACCTGCCGTCACTCAGTGATATACTATCTTACTACAAGGAAGAGATGCAAGGCGACAACGCAAACTACTTGTCACTCATGGCAGCCTCTCGTACCTCCACCAAGCAGGATGCTCTGCTCGAACTGATTGAGAAAACTGTACAAGCGCATCACAATATCCTCGAATGCCTCAGACCTGGTTCAGAGGCCTATGATGCCTACGTCAGTTTTTTCGAAGGATATGTCAAATTCCATGTTGCCTTGAAAAGGTACAAGCTGAAAGATATCATGGCAGAGATATCCTCTTCTTGATGGATGTTCATTCCCCTCCTTGGTATGGTACTTCCGACTTTCTACATTGATCACCATATCTTAACTTGGCCACTTGTGCAGCTGTGCCCTCGCGCTGTCTGTCAGTGGGGGTGTTACTTGACTTATCTTCATATACTTTGCTCGCTTCGTACGCTCTTCAGGCTCAACGTTGGATGGTTCTCTTTTTACCACTTGCTCTGAGTTGCCCTGCACCTCAAGTTCCACTGCAGACCCATTTCGTACCTTTTCACCATGTCATCTCTGCTGTAATTGTAAATGAACGTTAAATTATAGTGTTTAGAACATTTTTGTGAGCCCAGCAGGATGATACTCATTGCTGTCAGGCCGTACTTCTGGCTCTAACATGTTCGGTCCTGTTTCATCAATCCGTCTACCGCTGCTTACCCTGAAAAATTGACACCAAGGATGTTGAATAGAACTAAAGGTATCTCCCGCCCCAGGTAGGTAGTCCTATAGGATAGGCTAAGCGTCTAGCGAAACTCTACCAAATTCTGTACAATACACACTTCACTGAACGAACAACACCGAGTAAGAGTAAGCTAGCAGGTAAGGTGTCACGTCGTACACTCCGGAGGTGACATGTCAGGCATAGGAATTTGCATGAGTGCATCAGACGCGTGTGATTGTCGCTTCATCTGCCAAAGATGGCGGTGCATACGCGTGGCGAGGATCGCAAGGACGATGAACTGAAAACTGTAAGCGAAAATGTGTTTCGGGCATTGTTAACAGAATTGCGCAGAAGGTTGTGGAGGTGCATACTCGTGCAATATGGCGTGGTAGGAGTACTGGGTGTACGAAACATCAACAATTTGAACATAAAAGTTATTCAGGAGATATACGCACATGGAGGAGCAGTGATGTGAATATATTTGCCACCGAGAACACTTCAGGAAATAGAATGACCATGGATGAGCACGGAAAAATGGGGGGTGGAAGTGTCAACTCACAAAGACCACACGTATAATAAAATATGTTATGATTCAGCAGGACAATGTACAGACGGCTTGGGTTTTGTCGCCAACTCTGTATGGCACGTATGAGTGTGAGGGTCATAAGTCCTGGAGAGTATCTGTCAGCGTGTCTGTGTACACATACACTTGCTCCTGGTCACTCACCCAGTTCGAATGCGCACAGGAGAAGAAATGGTATGAAGAGCTGGAGACTACTCGAGCTCTGGTAGCACCCCGTGATACCGGGGATAGCACTAATTGCATCTGCAGGAGTAGACAGAATTGTTAAATGGCAGTGGAACGCCAGGAAAGAAAGGAGAACGTATACATGTTGCGGGAGCAGTAGTGGCGAAGGTAATACCGATGGAGGCTCCGAGAAAAGTCTGGCTGATGCATCAGCAGCTAATTTGGATGTGGCTAATGAATATTGGACTTACGAAAGCGGTAACAAGAATGGCTGCAAGCAATATTCTATTGTTGTTCCAAAGCGCGCATGTTCTTAAGATGAAAAAGCCTGGATGGATTGGATCAGGGACATGCATATCTTAGGGATGAAGGTTAGATACATTCGGAGCAAATGCCTAATAGTATATCGAGCCCTGTGAGAGGAAGTGACGATTGCACTCAGCAAAGCTGTGCATAGATAGATCTACCGTGCATGTACCTGAGCAAATATTGTCCAACACCCGGCATTTCTGGCAAAGTCATGCAGTAAGCGACATCCATTCCCTCATTAAGTCTCCGCCGCATGTTCACGTACACCTGGGGTTTCATTCGGAATGAAACTCACTACATGACAACATGTTAATTTATTATCGGGCGATGTACGATAAAGCTGAACGTACAATATAGATTTGTGGCGAGAAGCAGAAAGGGGACATATCGTGTAGCGATGTAGAGGCCCTTTGCCTTGGTCCAGTGCGACACAAGTAAGAATCTCCACTTTGAATACAATCAACATCAGATACGGGGCGTATCACGCAACGAGTACGTTACCTCTTCATGAACTTGTAGTGATGCCGCAGTCCGGTTCTGAACTTCGGTTCGGACCTGAACCCTCCCGGACCGGACCGTGGGTTCGGTCCTGGGTTCGAAATAGTATAAGGACCGAACTGATTATTAAGTTCAGCGTTCGGCTGCTGCCTGAATACTGTGAACCCGTTCGAACCCGTTCGAACCCGTCTGAACGTGTTCTCATATTCTTTGCATGATCCACCAATATATCTGCTCTGATCTTCTGGCAACCGGCATGTCGATCGATCTCGGGACAATCAATAGCGGATCGGACTTCGCAGCCAAAACACCCAACACATTTCCATTGGCGAGATCTGACTTCCCTGGTAATCTACTCGATGTTCTGGTAAGCCTAATGTTAAACAAATGTTAATCTTTATTCAGACTTCAATGGTCTTTATTTTCAGAACATATTCTCAGGTTTCTCGTTCTGGTACTTCAAGCTTCAACACCAAGTAATTGCATGGCAACAGGATGTTCAAGGTGCGTCATTTTTTTGATCTCTTATCATAAAATTTGGAATAAATGAGCTACTTACTACAGGTTCAATCTTCACCCTCCTTGCTGCACAAATGTCGTGCGCACTTGGATCTGACGGCCAACTCAAGGATGCTAGTGCCATCAATTGGTACAATGATCCTGACGATGACACGCCCATGCTTCCTCCACCTCCACCTCCTGCATCCAATGGCAAGCTAACTGCCTTTGTGTCTCGCTCAGGCCGAGCTGTTAAACCGACAGAAAAAATCCGCGATGCTGGCAACACGACTCCAGCCAAACGAGTGGCTCCAGCGCCTCCCCAAGGACAGCCTGCACCCAAGCGAGTGCAACGTGGGTCCCGTCTGGTCCGTCACCATGATGACGATGACGACGAACCTCCTGCACTAGAGGATTGTTCAGATGATGAAGAAGAGGCCGAAGACAATGACGGGGAGGAAGCTTACGAGTGGACCAAGGTATTTGGAGACAAGGACCGTGAGGATCGCAAGCATAAGAAGAAAGAGGAGCGCAGTGGGGATTTGAAGGTAGTATTTACTCAGGAGAAGGGACGCATCAATCCGCACACCCAAGAACCCGAAGATGGCTGGTGGTGCGAGATATGCAGGTATGTTTTTACTTTTACTTTGAACGTCACACACATAACTAACTTTGTCAATTCAAGAGCCAATGATGTACCCACCAATCAGTGCTTTTTCAAAGGCAGTGTTTCGACTCGCCGCACCCATATCGCTCGAAATGCGAAGTGTCACTTTCCAATATACCGCGACCGCTGCAAAGAACGAGGTATCAAGATGCATGATCGGGCGATACCTCCTAACTGCAAAGCAACCGACGACTTGCAGAAAACGTTAGATGCCTCCCTCACGCCTAAAATTCCTGAATTCACCAAGACCGGTCTAATGGATTACATTGTTGAGCTTATCGTGTCTGAGGACGAGGTGAGTGTTTTTTTTTGTAATCGTGACTTAGGATGTTCATGCCATAGATAGGCATTCCAACTCGTTGACAAGGGACCCTTTCGCCGGCTCCTTCAATACCTCTGGCCTTCCCTTTCAGACAGGGATATTCCTCACCACACCAAAACTCGAGATGAAATTCTTGAACGGGCGCAGCTTGCCGTTCAACGTGTCAAGGAGAAACTTAAGCAAGTTGATAGCAAGATTTCGATCACGTTCGACTCATGGACCTCTGAACCTGGGGTACCTTTTCTCTCCGTCACCGCGCATTATATTGACTCCCCAGCTGGGAAACCTCATGAGTGGGAGTTGAAGACAGAGCAGCTTGCATTCACCATCATCAACGGCAATCACAGTGGGAGCAACATTGGACGAATCCTGATTGAAACTATCAATAACTATGGCATCCGCACTAAGGTTGGATGGTTTACAGCTGACAATGCTACCAACAACGACACAGCAATTCAGACCGTCGCGCTTGCTATCGACCCTTCCGGCAAGAAATGGATTGCTGGGGAACACCGTGTGCGGTAAGTGAACTATTTAATATCGTGATTTATATATATTGATGTCTACTATTCAGCTGTATGGAGCACGCCTTGCACTTAGCTGCGAAACACTTTGTCGAGGAGGTCGCACCCACACCAGCAAGCGTGCTCCTCAAGAACATGGCCGATGAAGATGACGATGATGAAACGACTGATTTCGAGGTTGCCGACACCGCAGGAAAAGCCCTCGCACTTGTTACGCAGATTCGGAAATCTCCCCAAGCACGCACTTTTTTTCAACAGTGTTGTGTCGAGGTCAATGAGCCGAAGCTTGAGCTTTTGAAATGGATTCGCACGCGATGGGCCTCACTCTTTGGTATGTTGGAGCGCACCCTTAAGCTACGCAAAGTAAGTTGGTTTCTATCCCTATGCCCAATACTAACTCAATTTGATCTGCCGCAGGGGGTGAATAGATTCATACAACTGGCGGATGACAGTGACGAAGTCCCAAACTTGCAGGGCAAGTCATATGGAGCATTCAAGCTTTCAGCCGAAGAATGGAAGAAGTTGGAATTGATGCACGACGTGCTTCAGGTATGTGCGAGTGTCCAGTCGAGTCTCAAATGTTGTATTAACCTACTGTATAACCAGGAACCTGCCAATGCACAACAATCGTTTTCGGCGACTCGTGAACCTACTGTATGGCGCGCAATTCCAGTCCTCGAGTATCTCCAACAAACTTGGCAAAACATGGCTAGTTCTTCGAAGTTTGACGACTTTTCATCCGCAATCAACTCTGGCCTCGACAATATTCGCAAATGGTACCACAAGATTGACGAAACTGATGTTTATTTTGTTTGCCTCGGTATGTGTTTTATTTACTATGATGCCCTATCTAATGCACAATGTAGCGCTTGATCCTAACTATAAGGTGGCATATGCGAAGGGTAAATGGGAGCCTCACGACTTCGACGAGGGCATGAGAAGCTTGCGGAAGGTTTTTGACAAATATTATCATCACAACTCCTCGCCCGCTGCTGCAGAGCCGTCTATTGCAGCTCCTGCCTCGCTTGCTCACCATGGGTCATACGGCCATAGCTGGATGCGCGATGCTGTCAAAACTCGTGTCGCAAATGACACCGCAAATCGAAGACCTCGCCAGGAGCTTGACGACTACCTTGCTGCCCCATTAGAGGATGTTGAGAATATAGTGGCGTGGTGGGGTGTGAGTTTTTTCGCATCGCATTTCCTTGCAAGTTGACTCATTATGCCTTTAGCACCATTCCGTTCAATATCCCACCATCTCACGCATTGCAAAGGATTACCTCGCTATTCAAGGCTCTGCCGTTGCATCTGAACGAGCCTTTTCGAGTGGCGGCATCACTGGGACTGCGCGCCGTAATCGTTTGTTGCCAACAACATTCGAGGCCCTTCAGTTATTGAAGAGTGGGTACCGTCAAGGCCACATTTCTGCAACGGTTCAAGCTGAGTTTGCTGCTGCTCACGAACACTATGCCATGGACGAAATTTAGCTACTCATTTACGGTTCATGTATTTCTTGCAATTTTTGTCAAATTATATGTAGCGTTCGAGCGTTCGAACGTGTTCTGAACTTGAACCGAACGCTTGTGAACGCGTTCATAAGGGTCCGGTCCAGCGTTCGCCCTCCTTGCCTGAACGCGACCGATGGTCCAGTTCGGCGTTCGCATTTAGAGGCCTAAGAACCGAACCGAACCGGACTTCGGCACCACTATCATGAAGTGAACAAGCATAATTGTAGGTCTGGATATGCGAGTTGAACAGTAGAAGAGAACTCATCGGGACAAACTCACCCAGAATGTAGTTATCGAAACTGGGCTGCGTTAAGACGATAAAGATCGAGTTCAGACAAGACGCACTGTATATGTACTGATGCACATTGCACACATAGATTACTCCATATTACTCGTATCGACAAAAAAGAAATGTACCTGGAAGAACTGTGGAGGAACGATACACGCGGGAGGTTTTACGACACGCTAGAACAAAGGTACGAGTCTCAGTATTCGTTTCGAATCTCTATTAACAATTGTTTGTACCTAGAACAAAGGTACGACTAGATGTACGTCAGCGCTTGCGCTCGAATGTTACAGTGGGACTTGTACTTACGTCTCAGTATTCGTTTCGAATCTGAGACGCAACGACGAAAACAGCGTCCTCTTATACGGTGAGTCTGCCAGCAATAGCTTTGATGAAAAATATATACTTAAAGAACGAAAAGATTGCCGACGTTGACACGTCGTCGACGTTCTCCGTTTGGAGACGCTCGCACTCGATGTGCTCTATTCTTCGGCCGTATCGTCCTTTCCTTTCTCGGCTCTCTCTCTCTCGGCCTTACTTCCCTCGGACACATCGGCTCTCAACACTCCCCCTCGAGCGTTATCCAAACACATCAATGTCCTCAACCTCTGGAGTCGGGGACGTGCCAATGGCTTCGTGAACGCGTCCGCGACGTTGTCGTCACTGGGGCAGTAGATTATCTTGAAGGTACCGTCCTTCACGTGGCCGCGTACGAAGTGGTATCGCAGGTCTATGTGCTTGGTG